TTTTTTTTTACCTATGTAGAGGTGATAAGGCAGTATTGAATTCTCCAACTACTATTGTGTTGCTAGCAGTGTCCTCCTTAAAATCTGTTAGAAGTTGTTTTAAGTATTTAGCTGGTCCCTCATTAGGTCCATATACGTTTAGGAGTATGATTTCTTTCTGTTGTACATAACCCTTGATTAGTAAGTAATGACCTTCGCTGTCTCTTCTAATCTTCTTCAACCTGAAATCTATTTTGTTGGGTACTAATATCACCACCCCCTTGTTTGAAGGAGTTTTTTGCTTGATCACTTGATTCCCTTTAATCATCAATTTGCTTGAGCAGATGCCAGTAATGCCTCCACTCGTCCCTGTCGCATGCTAGTGTAGCCCCATGGTGTCTGTTCATTCTAGGAACATGAAGAGCCTCAAACTGATCATTCAGGGTCTTGATGAAGAAGTCTGACTATCTTGTAGGTGGGCGGCCATGCGGTCTTTTGACATCCCGTGGAATCCAGTCTGTAATGACTCTAGTCCAGCAGTCATCTCCAAATCTCATTACGTGTCCAGCCCATCTGATTTTCAATGCCCTGGCAAACGAGACAGCATCCCTGATTCTTGACTGTTGATGGAGGTTGGAACTCCGGATTCTTTCTCTTATTTGAGTGAAACGTGATACTCCAAGCATAGTTCTTTCAATTCCTCTTGGGAGACCCAAATAGTGTTCTCATCCTGTTTTCATAGGGCCCAAGTCTCTGAGGCATATGTTAATGCAGGAAGAACAGTGGAATTGATAAGATGTGCTTGGAGCCGGAGGTTCTTCATCCTATCAGCTATTTCTTCAATGCTTTTTTTTTTTTTTTTCTTCAATGCTTTTGAAGGTGTTCCAGGCTGCTCTTTTCCTCCTGTACAACTTAGGTGCCAGATCATTTGTCATGTTGAGTTCTCGACCTAGGTACACATAACTGTTGCATTTAGAGATGGTCATTCCGTTGAGAGTGAATGGAGCATCAGAAATGAGGCTGTTTCTCATAAACATTGTCTTTGTGAGATTTAGCTGTAGTCCGACCTTTCCACACTCACGGTTGAAGTCGGCCAGCATTTGTGCCGCTTGGCTAATGTTTGGTGTTATTAGAACGATGTTGTCAGCAAAGCAGAAGTGTTGTAGTTGCCAACCATCTATCTTCACTCCCATTCCTTCCCATTCCAGTTGTTGCATGATGTTCTTGAGGGTGGCACTGAAGAGTTTCGGTGAAATGGTATCACCCTGCCGAACCCCTCTCTTGACATTGATGATCACTTCTTTGTAGAATGGTGACATCCTGGTAGTGAATCCATAATAGAGCTCACGGAGGATCCTAATGTATTGAGCATGAATGCCCTGAGTGGCTAGGGCTTCAATGACTGCTTCAGTCTCAACAGAATCAAAGGCCTTTTTTAAATCAATGAAGGTTAGACAGAGCGGTGTCTTGAACGTCCAAGAAACCTTAATGAGCTTGGTTATCGTGTGGATATGGTCAATCGTGCTGAATCCTTTGCAGAACCCAGCTTGCTCACATGGTTGTCCTTCATCTAGTGTTCTGCCAATCCTGTTCAGGATGACTCGAGTGAACAGCTTGTAGATGACAGACAATAGGCAGATTGGGAGATAGTTGCCAATGTCATGGATGTCTCCCTTCTTGTACAGTAGTACAGTCCTGCTGGTTTTCCATTGGGATGGAACCTTGCATTCAGACAGGTAGCACATGAAGACCCGAGCCAGTGTATTGATGACAGCAGGTTCTTCAGGTGTTCAGTTCTGACCTTGTCTGGGCCAGGTGCTGTTTGTTTCTTGTTTGCTTGAAGGATTGTTTTCCATCCTTTAACTTTGAGTCTATGTTTTCTCTGACTGTTCAGATGTGTTTCTTGTGTGCAGCAGAATGTTGGATTCAGTGTCTGAATTCATTTTGCCACTCTGTGTCTCTTAATTGGTACATTTAGACCATTATATTGGGAGAGATTATTGTCATGGCGTTTTGTGCCATCTTTTCGTAGAGGTTTGTTATGCTTGTAGGGGTTTGTTATGTCTTACAGTAGCCCCTTTAGTCCTTATTTTAAGGTTGATTTTGAGTCTATGAAGTTCTCAAACTGTTGTTTATCCATGAAATAGTGTATCGTTCCTTCAGTTTGGGTGAGAATTAAGCCAGATAAAGTATTCTTGGTGACGCATTCATTTCATTGAGTTTTTTCACTATATCCCACCACTATCTTTGGGCTTGGAGGGTTTCCTGTTAGGTCTGCTGTAAATCTAAGGGGTACTCCTTTGTATATGATTTCTTTTTCTGATCTTGCTGCTTGCAGTATTATGTCCTTATTCGTGGCACCTATCATTTTATGATGTGTCTTGGAGTATTTTTATTACGATCCCTTTTGGCTGACACCCTTCGGGCTTCTTGGATCTGGATGCCTGCATTCTCCAGCTCTGGGAACTTTTTGGCAATGACATCTTTAACTGTGGCTTATTCGTTGGGGTTGCCTCCCTGTCCTTCTGGTACTCAGATGATTCTTATGTTGTTCCTCTTGAGTTCATCCCCTATGACTCTGATTGCCCTAGAGCTCTTTTGAGTTTTTTTTCCCCCATTGTTGTTACATGTAAGCTTTCTGCAGCTTATCTTCAAGCCACTGATTCTGTGTTTGACTGTAGCCATTCTACTGTTGAGGGCACCCACTGATTTTTATATTTCATCTATCATATCCTTTATTAATAACACTTCTGTTTGCAATGATCTTATTTCTGCTCTCTCTTCCTATAGTTTGTTGGCTGTCCGTTCCACTGTTTCGTGCCCTCTTTTAATTTACTGCATATCTGTTCCACCATTTCTTTGAGTTAATTGAACATCTTCAACATTTCATCTCCGAATTCTTTATTGGAGAGATCGTATTTGTGGGTAGCCCCTGTTTTGGCTTCTGAACCCTTTTCATCATCTTCTCCTCCTGGTGGGATTTGCGCTGCTTCTTCATGTTGTTGTGGTAGTATAGAGGTGGGGCCTTCCAATTCACTATCGGTATTCTCCTCTTGCTGTGAGAAAGTTTCTGTTATGCTTGTAGGGGTTTGTTATGTCTTACAGTAGCCACTTCATCATTAGGTGCCAGATCATTTGTCATGTTGAGTTCTCGACCTAGTATATACTTCCATAAAGCATCTCCTCTTGCTGTGAGAAAGTTTCTGTATAAGCTCGGTTGATGGTGGTAGCCTTTCCCCCCCTTCTAGAATACCTCCTTCCTCTCAGATGCTCCTCTGTGGCTTAGGTGAGGCCTCTAGTAAAGCTTCAGAGAATTTATTCTTTTATATTGGACTTGTAGAGCTTCTTGTATCCACTGGTATTATGGTGCAATTGGAATAGGCTAGTGGACTATTGGCCTACTGTGTTTGAGATGGCCATGATATTCTCCACAGAGTTAGGAGATGGAGATGTGAGTCCAGAGTGCCAGGAAAGGGGAAATAACTGCGGCCCCACTAGAGGCCACGCCCCCTGCAACGGAGGCCATGCGCCCTGGTGCAGAGGCCATGCCCCCAGCTGTGGTGGATGGTCACCCACCTGTGGGACAAACTGGCAGTGCTTGGGCAGCGGGGATTTGGGCTGGAAGCTGGTTCTGGTACAGTAGGAATGCAGAATTTTTAATGTCTCTTCTTTCTCAGTATATACTTCCATAAAGCATGCAAGTCTGTAAGTCCACAGTGATGATATGATGACAGTTGTTGCACACAACCCATCAGAATACAGTAACTAGGGACTGGAGCAATAGTATAGTACATAGGGCATTTGCTTTGCACTTGGGTTTGAGTACAACATTCTTGTGGTTTTCTGAGCACTGTCAGGAGTAATTCCCGAATACAGTCAGAAATTACCCCTGAGCATTGCTGGATATGGCCTGAAGGAAATTAAAAAAAAAAGAATACACCAAATTCCAACTATGTGTATTGTAACATGATTCATGAGACATGTCTTACCAAATACACATTGTCATCTCTTTGCTTAACTTTTTATAATTGCATGAGGATCTCTGTCAATGTCTATAGGAGTCATCTTAGAAGAACAAAAGTGAATACCATTAGGAAAAAGCATATAAATCAAGAAAAATTATGTTAAGTATTATAGATAGATAGATAGTTAGGGTCCGAGATTGATAATCTCCCTTCTCCAAACCACACAGAGTCCTGCCAGTACTGCAAAACACAAGCGGAGTTTATTCAAGCCAGCTAGCTGAGGTCAAGATCTCAGGCACGCAGGCCAGAGCAAGACCCTGAGCAAGGGAGGAGCTGCAAGTTTTATAGTTAATGCTTACATCATAGCCTGCACTTACAAATTCAGAGAAAAACATAAGTAAAAAGCAGGCTTCAGCATAATTTCAAACAGCATAATGAACAATTGCAGATAGTTCACCTTATCCTGTTTCCTAGGCTACTCTGGCGGTAGTTTCCCCCTCCCCTGTGCAGTCCAGGTGGTTTCTCTAGATAGTGGACAGCAGAGCCTTATTGAACAAGGTCAAATCATCAGTTCGGACATTCTTCCCTCACAGATGGTCAGGGGGAAGAAGCTGTATTGTGAGAACCAAGGCCGAGTTATCAGCCCAGATGTCCCTCTTTTGCAGACGGCCATGGCCGGGGAGGTGGGGAGCAGAATCCTGAGAGAACCAGACTGTTGAGAGCTACAAACTAATTGAAAAACAACATGCAGGACAGAGGAATGCAGAAAGGGGCATGGAGCAGGGGCTTCAGGAATGGAGCCCGTTATGGAGTCTGTCATGTCCTGCTCCATACCCAACTATATATATAGCACTAAAAATGTTAATTCAATAAAAAAATGAATTGTAAATGTGGCCAAAAGAGTGAAAGAAATGAAAAATGCCCTTAAATGAAATTCGGTAAAGATCTTGAACTCTGCTGGTAGGAATAAAATGACACACACTTAGAGTTATATAGAGTGTTACATATATATGTATACACACACTTTTAATCTTATCCTGACTTTGTTTTTGTTAGACACATCATCTTTGCTCCAAGTAGCCACAACAAGTATGCTGGAGAATCATTTCCTGGGATTTATGATGCCATGTTTGATATTGAAAATACAGCAGACCCTCATTCAGCCTGGAGAGAAGTAAAAAAACACATTTCTGTTGCAACGTTTACCATTCAAGCAGCTGCAGGGACTCTAAAAGAAGTATAATGGGAGGCTTCTGCCAAAGGGTAGGCAATAAAAGTGTTATTGAAGTGTGAGATTAATCCCTTTTTTCTTTTTGGTAATTCACTAAGACAACATTCTAAAAATCTTGCTTTTGTGTCATGTTTTGATTTTAGATTTTCATTTTGTTCACCTGAATAGAGGTTTTTGGCTTTTTAAAAATTCCTAACTTCAGCACTAAAAATGTTAATTCAATTAAAAAAAAGAATTGTAAATGTGGCCAAAAGAGTGAAAGAAATGAAAAATGCCCTTAAATGAAATACGGTAAAGAACTTCAACTCTGCTGGTAGGAATAAAATGACACAATAGTTTGGTAAAGTTTGGCAGCTTCTTACAAAACAAAACATATTGGGGTTGGAGACAGTACAGGGAGTAAAGGGTTTGTCTTGCATTGAGCTGACCCAGGTTCTATCCCCAGTATTGTGTATGGTCCCCCAACCATGCTAGGAGTGATGTTTGAGTCCAGAGCCAGGAGACCTGAACACCTCTGGATGTGGCCTCAAACCCAAAAAAATTAACAAAGGAAAGAAACATATACATATTGACTCATAAAATACGAGTGATATTCCTGATATTAAGAGAAGCTAAAACATGACCGTAAAAAGATACTTTTGCTCATCATTGCAACAGCTCAGTGGAAATAATCCATTCAATTTATTTCTGTTTGAATGGATACTGTGGTATAGCCTCAGAGTGATTCTGCTCAATAAAAAACCAAATTCCCAAGAGCTAGGGACAATACTTACTCATGCTTTGCATGACCTGGGCCTTGAGTTCATTTTACAGCACCACATTATCTTCTAGTGTATGCCCAGGTTTAGTGCTATAGACAGTTGAGCACCACTGGGCCAGACCATGGGCTCAGTTAGCTGAGTAACACCAGAAGTGATCTCAAAGTACCTGTGTAAACTCACACAAATAGGGGGGCACGGCACCCACAGCGGCGGTGGCTCTATCTCTCCCGCCGCCCGCGTTCGGTAGTCTCACCCTTCTCCCACCCCGGAGAGGTCGATGGTGATGGTCAGGCAGAGGAAGGAACGAGGGCCAGGCTGGTAGGTATTAGTCGTAGTTTATTCTGATTCTCTCCTCATCTGTCTCTCTATCTCTGCCCCCATGCTACTTCATTCTCCTTCTCCATCCCCCTTCATCCTCCTCTTCCTTCTCATCCTCTCTGAACTCTCTTCTTCCTTCTGCTCCAGCCCGCTCCTACAGTATAGTTAAATTCTCTCTCCGTGAGGAATTGGGGAAACAGTTAGGTGCGGTCGAAATCAATAGGGGTAGAAATCTTAGCCTCAGGGAAGACCGCTCCTAGGACAGATCCTTCCTCAGCAGGAGGACCCACCCTAGAGCAGAATCCCATGGGCGTGCCTCTCCTCTCCTTGTCCGACAGGCATACAAGAATATAAATCATTTTGTATGGATACAGTAAGAAATATCTTAAACTTATAGAATTGCTCTCCTAGGGCCATCTCAATCTCAGACTACGGTGCTCAGGCCAGATAGTCTTTCCCACCCCTAGCAGGATCCTAGTCTTGTCGTTACCTTTGGATCATGACAGCATTTGTCTATGATCAAACTCTTAACTTATAGTTAAGAATCGTGGCACTTTGGCCTGGCCCATTTCGCTGCCAGGGTAGTTCACCGCTTGCCCTGGGTCCATTCAGTCCCTCGTCGGGACCCTGCTTTTGGGGTGTTAGGAACTAAGGGCAACTGAGGCTTAAGTCGAGAAAGATGCCCGGGAGTGAACAATATTCAAGGCCAATCAAATCCTAAATTACAAAGCATAATGTTAACGGTCTTCCTGTATCTATACAAAAAGGATATTACTTTAAGGTAAACTATTCATAAGGCATAGGGAGAGGAGAAAGGCAATATTTCACTCATACATATAAAATCATAGATTTCTGGGAAACTGATCTTACAAATTAACAAAGTCTGATTAAGGGGAAAGCTGATTAACTGGGTGGGAAGGAGAGCATAGGGAAGAGTGTTTACATGTTTACATGTAAACACAATGGAAGTGGAAGTGCCTCTGGAGCACTGTGGTGGGTGTGACCAGATTGATGGGTGTAACCAGATTAATGGGTGTAACCAGATAAAACCTAAGCTTCTTGAAGGACAAAGCAATGTTACCCAACAGTACCCTTATTACTCTTTGGATCTTTGGATTCCCCCCACCCCCCGCCAAAGCCAGCACATATGAGGGGCACAGCACAGACCATAAAAGCGGGGATGGAAAAACTACACATACAGGGTACACTTATAGAAACCTTGGGTTTGGAGAGTCTATAGACAGGATTCTCCAAAAGAAGGCTAGAGAACCAGAATACTTGGTGCAAAGAGCAGAGACCAGCAGAAATATGACCGGAATTAAAGATTTAGGGATAGTACACAGATTAGGATAAAGTTTGCCTATGGTCAAAATTGAAAATGAAAGTATTATGGTGAATGGTAAAATTAGGGTAACTGGTAGTGTTAGGTTTATGCTAGGGTAAGGGTTAGTATCATGGATAGGGTTAGGATTACAGTTCAGGTTAAGGTTAGGGTTTTGGTTTGTGCGAGTTCACAAGTAAATTGCTGGGGCTGCTGCTGCGACACACGTGTGTGTTTGGGTTCGGTGGCCCAGAGCTGCCTCCCCACTTTCCCACCTTCCCAGGGCTCTCCAACAGAAAGACAGAGAGATGGGGAAATGGGGGACCACAGTCTGATGGTAAAAATGACCCATTTGATGCAGAGTTTCTAGAGTACTTATAGAACATCTAAAGGGGAGTTCAGGTAAGGACATAGGTGTGATTGGTCATTTATATAGATAAACATTTGGCAGAGGAAATTCTCTTTGGGAGATCAACTCAAGAAGACACTCTGTCTCCAAGGGACATCTACGTTGCTTTTATCTTTCCCTCTAGTTGTATAAGTTATCAATACTTGCAGTTGTTTGGATAAACGCAGTAAGAGACAAAGATCCCAACACTTAGTTCTCTGGGATGAGAGCAAGCAAGGTTTTTAACACTTAGTTCTCTGGGCTCTGAGAGCAAGCAAGGCTTTTACCATAAATCCAAGACTAAATCCTCAGGCCAGTTCAGCTTGTCCTTCCCATGGGGGTCCTATCTCTTTTTTTTTTTTTTCCTTAAATTTTTATTAGTGAAACACCATGAAGTACGGTTGTAGACTTACAAATTTTTGTGCTTGGGTTTCGGTTACACAATGATCGAATACTCATCCCTCCACCAGTGCCCATTCTCCACCACCACCAGTCCCAGTATATCTCCCACCCCCATGCCCCCCATCCCACTCTACCTCTGTGGCAGGGCATTCCCTTTTGTTCTCTCTCTCCTTTTGAGTGCTGTTTGCAAAAGAGACATTGAGTGGCAATCATGTTCGGTCTATAGTCTACTCTCATCACGCATCTCCCATCCTGAGAGGAACCTCCCAACACCCTTTATTTGGTGCTCCCTTCTCTATCTGAGCTGCCTTTTCCCCTAGTGTGTGCGGCTGGCCTCAAAGGCATGGAGTAATCCTCCTGGTACTTATCTCGACTATTCTTGGGTGTTAGTCTCCTATTTTGTTACTTTATGTTCCCCAGATGAATGAAATCTTTCTATGTTTGTCCTTTTTTTCTGACTTATTTTGCTTAGCATGATACTTTCCATGTAGTACCACTTGTATATGAATTTCATGACTTCTTCTTTTCTAACAGCTGCATAGTATTCCATTGTGTAGATGTACTAAAGTTTCTTTAACCAGTCATCTGTTCTTGGGCACTCAGGTTTTTTCCAGATTCTAGCTATTGTAAAGAGTGCTGCAATGAACAAACAAGTGCAGATGTCACTTTGACTATACTTTTTTGCCTCTCTGGGATATATTCCCAGGAGTGGTATTGCTGGGTCAAATGGGAGCTCAGTTTTTAATTTTTTGAGAATTGTCCATACTGTTTTCCAAAAGGGCTGAACCAGTCGGCATTTCCACCAGCAGTGAATCTCACCGCATCTGTGCCAAAACCGGTTGCTTTTGGTCTTTTGGATGTGGCCCAGTCTCTGTGGTGTGAGATGATATCTCATCATTGTTTTGATCTGCATCTCCCTGATGATTAGTGATGTAGAGCATTTTCTCATGTGCCTTTTAGCCATTCGGATTTCTTTTTTTTATATATATATATTTATTTTTTATTAGTGAGACACCATGAGGTACAGTTGTAGATTTACAAATTTTTGTGCTTGGATTTCGGTCATACCATGATCAAATACCCATCCCTCCACCAGTGCCCATTTTCCACCACCAGGATAATATCCCTCCCCCCCATCCCCCCACCCCCCCTGCCACTGTGGCAGGGCATTCCCTTTTGTTCTCTCTATCCTTTTGGGTGTTGTGATCAGCAAAAGAGGCATTGAGTAGCAAACATGTTCAGTCCAGTCTACTTTCAACCTGCATCTCCCCTCCTGGGAGGATCCTCCAAACACCTTCCATTTGGTGCTCCCTTTTCTATCTGAACTCTCCTTTCCCCTAGAATACCCGGCTGGTCTCTAAGCTATGGAGTAATCCTCCTGGTGTTGATCTCAGCTATTCTTGGGTATTAATCTCATATTTTGTTATTTTATATCCCCCAAATGAATGCAATCTTTCTATGTCTATCCCTCTCTTTCTGACTCATTTCGCTTAGCATGATACTTTCCATATTGTACCACTTGTATGTAAATTTCATGACTTCATCTTTTCTAAGATGAAACGTTGTTCCCAACGTTCTCCCCTCCGAAATCCGACACGCCATTTCGTCGGTTAAGAAACAAACAGCACCCGGCCCAGACAAGGTCAGACCTGAACACCTGAAGAACCTGCCGTCAGTACTCATCAATACACTGGCTCAGCTCTTCACTCGCTACCTGTCTGAATGCAAGGTTCCGTCCCAATGGAAAACCAGCAGGACCGTACTACTGTTCAAGAAGGGAGACATCCATGACATTGGCAACTATCGCCCGATCTGCCTATTGTCTGTCATCTACAAGTTGTTCACTCGA